GCACCCCCACCCCCCCCCTCCGGTGCAGTGGGGGGCTTTGCACTGAGTGGCACCCCCACCCCCCCCCCTCCGGGTGCAGTGGGGGCTTGCACTGAGTGGCACCCCCCCCCCCCCCCTCCGGTGCAGTGGGGGGCTTGCACTGAGTGGCACCCCCCCCCCCCCCCCTCCGGTGCAGTGGGGGGCTTGCACTGAGTGGCACCCCCACCCCCCCCCCCTCCGGTGCAGTGTGGGGGCTTGCACTGAGTGGCACCCCCACCACCCCCCCCCCCCCCGGTGCAGTGGGGGGGGGTTTGCACTGAGTGGCACCCCACTGAGTAGGCACCCCCCCCCCCCCCCGGTGCAGTGGGGGGGGGTTGGCACTGAGTGGTGGCACCCCCCTTCCCCCCCCCCTCCGGTGCAGTGGGGGGGGGTTTGCACAGAGTGGCACCCCCCCACCCCCCCCCTCCGGTGCAGTGGGGGGGGGGGGGTTTGCACTGAGTGGCACCCCCATTCCCCCCTTCCCCCCCCCCCCCGGTGCAGTGGGGGGGGGTTTGCACAGAGTGGCACCCCCCTTCTTCTCCCCCCCCCAGTGGGGGGCTTGCACTGAGTGTGCACCCCCCTACCGGGGGGGGGGTTTGCACAGAGTGGCACCCCCATTCCCACTGAACCCCCCCCCCCCCGGTGCACATGGTGGGGGGTTTGCACTGAGTGGCACCCCCATTCCCCCCCCGTACCCCTGAGTGCCACCCCCCGCCCATGCACAGTGGAGGTCTGATTCAAGCACCCCAGACTCCCCCCAGTACATTGGGGTGGCACTCAATGCAGACCTCTAAACACACCCCACCCACCATAATTGGGGTCTGCACTGAGCAATCCCCCTCCCCCACCTGGTACCCTCACGTGTGTATGGCCACTCTGCCCTAAGGTTGCTTAAAATCGATAGAATATGTGGCAAAAGTGCACCAACATTGCGCTTTTTGAGTCCCTTGTCCTGTAAAAATCTCCCCACAAACACAGTAAAAACATCTGCGTTTTTGTCAGGATTCAGTGTGAAAGTAGCCTAAGGGCTCATTCACACCAGGTGTGCCGGGAGTGCCTAGCACATAAATGTGGCAGTTTTCCTTGTCAGCATTGTATGGATCACTATAATACAGTGGTGTGCCCGAAAGCACAGCCTGCAGAACATTTGTCAGGGCGGTGTGGTTCCATGTGATTCAGCACACCACATTACTGCCAGTAGAACTAAATGAGGTGTCATCTTGTACCTTTTATATTCAAGTTCATTGGGAAAACAAAAAGGTGATGTACAACAACCTTCTCACAGAACATCTTTTAACACAGCTGTTGGAGTGTTTCATAGGACATTCTAATCACCTATAAATGTAAGTAATGATTGTAAATGTATCGTTCACATACTGAGTATTCAGGTGTGTTCAGTTTGGCTACATTTATAGAGAACGAAATTTTGTTTCGGAGGAATAGCAGATCCCCTGAACACTTCCACTGGTGTCACTGAGGTTGATACACTGTAAATACTTCACAGATCAATTCTCTTCAGTTAAATAACCGAGACACAGGAGGTCAGAGGGAATGTAGCCAGTACTCGGCTCCTCTTCTAGAACTTTCCCTCCTAAAGACTCGTTATATAAATCTTCAGCAGGAGGCCTGGGCTCTTTATTTTCAGCCATGTGACTGTGGTCTTCAAATCCCATTGGACTCTGATAGTATTGGGGTTTTATGAATGAGGATCTTGTGTGAGTGTTGTGGCTTTAGCTGTGTATAGTGTAGTGTGCCCTGAACATCCATATGGGGGGGGGGGATTGTTTGTTTTTTGTGGTCTTTGTGTGATGTTTGTGCTCAGGCCACAGCAATATACTAACATGATGACTTCTGACTCGTCGTAGCTTGTTTATTGGGGAGTGATAAGCTGGGCAGTCTTCATGATGGTTCTTGCTGTATCCTTCCCCTGAACCACATAACATCCACTCTGCTTTAACTTGTGATGGACTTTTTGTATAGTGAGTAACAAAACTCTGAACTGAAAGGCTTCTTACTCTTTAGGCACACATCGGTTGGGTCTAACATACCCCCACCCTGTGAATGCTGTCAGCATTTTATAAAGACCTTTTCTTCTGAGTGAGAAATATTCTTTAGAAGTCATCACAAGGGGCTGCAGTGCTCCTCTAAGTGGCAGGAGAGGAAAAGGGGCACCATAAATCACTGGATGGCAGGACACTCATCGGCTAATTGGAAGTATTGGCAGTGCTGTTATACAGCACATCCATGTGACTACTGACTTGGGGGGGATTCACAGCAGGCCATTCAGTATTTTCAACCTGCAGGAGAAAGTGGAGGATGATGGGGGGGCTGGCAGGATCTCCATGGTTGACAGCTTCAGAATGATTAGTTGTTTGCAGTTTGTGACTTATTTTTTTACTTCAAAATGTTATTACTGTTGAACTGCTTACATTTGTGATATTGATTGACAAATGTACCCTATTCTGAGCTTTTCTTTATTTTCAAAGACCAGCCATATACATAGCTTTCCATAGTGTATGAGTAAACAATGGGTCAGGCTACCCAGCAACCAAAGTTTGTAGCATCAGATTAAAGTGATATTAAACCCTCAGTTTTTTAGCAGCAGTTTTAAGTAATTTCAGGTAAGGATATTTGTAGACAAATTATGTTGGTCAGCTTGGACCATTGTAACTCTGCATATACCATACCTGACAGATCCCTCTAGAAGCTGGAATTCACTGTAAATAGGCACCACTACTCCAGTGATCTCCACTAGCTTCTGGGTCTCGTGCTGAGTGGCTGCCCTGCTCCATAGTGAACACAGGTCGGCTGGTTGGCACAGGCACCATTCAGAAAATGCTTTGTATTTTCTCAGTGAAGCAGAGAGTTCTGTGATTGGACAAGATGGAGACAGGGTTGTCCAATCAGAGAATGCAAAGCATTTTCTTAAAGTGATTCTAAAGCCCCCCCTCAAAAAAAACAATTATAGTTACTTGCTCTGTGCAGGGGTATTGCACCCTTACCTAATTTTCTGGGGTCCCCTGCTAGTGCTGTCTGCTCCCCCTTTTCAAGTGCTTCCATTGCAAGCTCTGCTGTGGGGGCTCCTGAGCCAGGCTGTCTCTCCATATACAGCACATATCGGCCAAGCCCCCTGCTCTCCTCTGTCTTGTGAGAACAGGCAGAGAGACAAGCTCAGCTGCAGACAGGGCTGGATCAAGATGACGTGGGTAATTATTGGGGGGCTAATGGCAGCAGACTGCAGAAACACCTCCTGTGTTCAGAATGCAGCAGGGCAGCCACTTGGCAAGGGACCCAGAAAGTGGAGATCACTGAAATAGTGGTGCCAATCTATTTTAGTTATTTCCAGCTTCTAGAGGGTTCCCACAGGTGTGGTTATACATAGATATGTTGGTCCTGCTTGGACCAATGTAAATGTGTAAGAAAAAAAAAAGCCATACTTGGAATTTTTTAATTTGCAGAGTTAGCAGCTTCTTTATCTTTTATTCATTGCCTATGTTCCAGTTTAAGCTGGTGCCATGTCTGCTTCCCCAGGATTCCTGTTTCAGGGTGGCTCCTTTCTCTTGCAGCATCTTTTGAAGCCACTCTTGCATGTGGGGACTAGTTGTCTCTACACTCTGTGCCCTCAATAGGAGCACGGCTCCAAAGTCTAGGGTGGTAAGGCGCCCCTGGCTCATCCTTCAAGCTAGTAGGTTGGTTCCAGACTGCACTGGCCACTGGTAACTCTTAGCAAAGTGCATGAGCCATCAATATTTAACATTTCAAAGTGAAAGTGCTGGGGTAGGAATTTGACCAGTTTACAGGGGATGTTTTCATATTAAAAACTGAGGGCTTAATACTGTAAGCATATAATAATCTGTGCTTGTTCCTGTTGCATAATGTAAACAATTGCAAATTAACTGAATTAAATCACACAATACTTTTCTAAGATCCTGACAGTATATGGCTGGCCTAGAGAAGCTGCATGAGCTCAACCTAAAGAACAGGTTCACTTTGGGTTTAAAACTTTCGGTACCCCCTCATCTGTTCTAAGGCAAAACCCTCCCGTCTGAGTGCCCGGTCAGTTGCCAAAACCATGTCCGGTGTGGTCTGTGCAGTGATGTCCCATAGATACCATTCTCTGGTGGTGTGGGTACGGCCCATTCTTGGCTATGGGAAGCTTCTTGCAGGCAGCATCAGATGAGCTTTCTGCAATGAAGCACTAAATGTTTCAGAAGGCCATGGAAGGCTGTGATGGGGTACCCAGTGGTGGGAGGGATTATATGTTGGAATGGCCAGGCTCTCGTGTATGCTTCCTTTTACCACACCTCGGTTTCAGGTGGCTTTTACACAAGTTTTAGTGTGCACCTCCATTTACATCTAATTAGAATGTGCTTTTTTTGTGCAAGCGCATCAAAGATGCTGCATGCGGGACTTTAAATCGCTGTCATGAAAACGCGCACTTTATTATACTTAAGTGGGAATGCGCTGCATAACGCTGAGCCTTGCCTTAGAGGGCTGGGGAGGTTTTAGCCCAAAGTGAAACCTGTCTTTTAGGCCAATTCGAATGGTTTATGGTCAGATTGTGAACAGTCGTGTGTCTGGGGACTCCCCTGCTGATCTCTCTCCAGGGAAGAGTGGATGTGTTTGGTTTGCTGCCCTTCTCTTTCCCCTCCCCCCTCCCCTTCCTGAGATAAGCCAGTTCTGGGGATGCTTCTGCTGTCCTCCATGTTCACCATAAACATGTACGCAGGGCTGGGATGGCACGTGCATGTTTATGGAACCCTCCCATCACATCCTGTGCACATATACTGCAATCTGCCGGGGTAGCTGGAGTCTTCTGTGATAAGCTGGTGTGACCTCTCCTAATAAGATCTATATATATATAGTAATGAACCGTACATTTGTGTGTAAGATTGAAGCTTTCATGTACTAAAGGTTTATGTATTTCATACACAGGACTACATAGTGCTGCAGAGCCATAAGGTCCCCAGATAGGTATTTAAATGCAGGACAGACTGGAGATGCAGGTAGTAATGTTACATTTTCTCATTGTATTAAGCTGTATAAGTGACATTTGGTCCAGGGAGCTGGGCGCTTGTTATCAGATGTTGTCTAGGCATGTAGAGGAGCGCTCCGCCATTGCACAGCAGGCTCACTCACACTGCCCGCGGGCGGCGCTCAGCTTTATCCCGGCCACTCCAGAAAAACGCTGGGCGCATGTGCGGGGCGGGGTCACGGCTCAGGGAGGGGCGGGCTCACACGTTTCCTGGCCTGGAGTATCGGGGAAGCTCTGTACATCATAACGGGAACCGCGGGGAACGCGCTCTGGCCATTAGTTCTCCGGTAAGCTGGCCCGGCGGCTTCCTTTTCCTCCCACCGATAGTCTCCTGATCCGTGCACAGTGCGCGGCAATATTACAGATGCAGCGACCTCCTCCCATCCCTCTCCCTCCCCTGATCCCCGCATTGTAGAACATTCACACCCCCCCCCCCCCCCCCCCCCCCCCCGCACACTGCATCGCCCGCTCGGCTCTGTGCTGATCGAACACCTATACATTCCCCTACAGAGCATCTATGGTGGGCGGCCCTCTTCCCCCCCCCCCCCCCCTCCAGGATTTATCCTTTGTGTTAATGGAACAAAGAATGAGACCTGAATGACCCCCCCATCCCCCCCCCCCCATCCATCCATCCCACCCACTGTATACACACTGCCAGGTGATGTCTTCTGAACTCTGTACACTGATCTGTCTGGATGTTTTCTTCATAATCTGTGTGATCTGACATTCTCCTGTTTATGGTTTTTGTTTTTTGTAACAGTTTGTGTATCCAGGTAAACTTTTTGATCTTCAGTGTTTTTATGTTTATAATGCAGAAAATGGGGAAGAAGCAGAATGGAAAAGGCAAGAAGGTGGAGGAAGCCGAGCCTGAGGAGTTTGTAGTAGAAAAGGTTCTAGACAGACGTGTTGTGAACGGGAAGGTGGAATATTATCTCAAGTGGAAAGGATTCACAGAGTAAGATTACTATTTTTTTTCTTTTTTCCCTTTTGTAATGTGTTTTGAGTCCCCATTCACACCACTGCGATCTGTGTGCAATTTCAGGTGCAGCCTCTAAAGACTTCATTGCTACTTTTGAAGATTCTCAACAATTTCTTGCAATTTGCAGTGCGTTTTTTTTTTTTTTTTTTTTTTTTTTTTTTTTTTTTTTTTTTTTGCCATGTATGTGAAACTGCAAAAAAAGTAATGCAAGAACTACTTTAGAAATCACTCTGCAGCAAATCACAAATGTTAACACTGACATACTTTAGATGTGATTTTGATTCCCAAATATGACCAGGCACTTATGGATAAAAGAACAATGCATTCCCCCTGTGTCTGTGTACTGTTTTTAGTCTAGTATGCCTCAAGAGGGTTTAGATTACTTTTTCTAAATTTATAATTGGATATGGGATGCAGATGGCACATTTTTAGGCTTTTGTGCATTTTTGCAATGGCTCAATGTGAAGAGTTCCATAGGAATGCATGGTCGCACATTTTTCTACCGCCTTTGTTTTTTAAATCACCAGAAAAAAAATGGATCAGTGTGAAAGCAGCCATAAACTTGCACTATGTATATATCCGTGTGTTTAAAAATTCAGCATCTCCAGTCAGTATGTTATATGCCTTTTTATTCATTGATGAAAATCTCCACCCAAAAGAAGGAAAAACTGTTGCTTTACTGCTTATAGTGGAGTTCAGTTTAAGTCAGGTCTATCTAAATCTGCTAGTCTAATACCACCCTTTCCCCAGACTGACAATACTGTCCACAGTTGCCTGCTTTACTACGTCATCCAGAATACACACTGACAGGAGGTGTAACAGCCTAGATCACTAGGTGATATAAAGGGGGAATAAGCCTAAGAAAACGAATGTAACTATCACATCTGAGGGATTGGTAAGATGCAATATATATCGTTTTTGTTTAGGGTTTAATACCGCAATATATATGTTTTTGTTTAGGGTTTAATACCGCTTTAAGTGTCAGAGTACAGCAGTTGTGCAGCTGTGCAGTGATACATGGTGTTGTGCAGTGCTGAAAAATGCAGACATGCTGCATTTTTCCACATCACTACAGCATTGTGGTGTGCACATGGCGCTTAGAAACCTAATTTTGTGTGTTCTGCATTTATCCACTGTGGAAAAATGCAGGCCAGTGCAGATAGTGTGAATGAGTTCTTTAGGGATTTGACAAGCTTTTCCTTTTTATAGCCATTTCTTTTACTGAGCAGATTATGAAATGCAGGTACATTGCTGATCTAAGACAGGATGCAGGCTGTGCTTGAATGGGGGTGGGTTAAGAGGCAGGCTGTGAAAACTGACCACGCAAATACAGATCAGCCTCTGTGCTAAAAGGTGACTGACAGGGTCAACCAGGTACATAATAGGGGAGAAGTACCTTGAAACAATAGAGCCTGTGACTTATACAAGTGATCACACACCTAGAAAAAAATATTTAGGATAACATACTTATTGCATGCAAATCCTTTTACTTGGAAGGAAGCAGCGATTTTAGCCTCCATTTGATCTGCAGTTGCTATGGTGCTGCACATGTGATCAGTTATGAAAGCAATCATTTGATGGCTGACAGTTGAGAGCACAACTGCACTACTGTAACATTTATTCACAGAATTACTTTACTGGAACACTTTTGAGAAGTAAACGAATGACTTTTTAGTTCTGATTTAAAAACATGATTTATTTTTAACAAAAGGGGTTTAATATAACCTAATGTAGTGTTTGTCATGCCTGTTCTACTGAAATTGTCTATTTTGTCAATTCAGTGGAAATCAGGATTTTCTTAGAACTTTGGTACCTTGGGGTGAATGAGTTGATTACTTGTTAGTTCCAGACTAATTGAGCTGTTCAGGAAAGATTGTGTTGAAAATGCAATGTCTTGTGCTATAGAATACTGTACATGGGAGAATCATTTGGCAAAGTTGTAAGATCTTGGCCTGGCATCAGTACGTATTGGCATCGACTCCAACCAAGCTTGCAGCTAGTGCCATACAGGATATACATACTGCTGTGCTGTCTTTTGACTGGGGTAAGCAGGATAAGCGGTCTGTAGAGCACTGCTCTCTGGGCAGAAATGCCTTTTATGCTTGTGTGTATAACTACAACCTGCATGTTTAGTGTCCTTAGAGTAGATGTGGATTAGCTAGCCAGCTATCTGTATACTTCTTGTTTTAGAGTGTGTTCACACCACATGCAGTGAGACTGTATTGGGCAGCTATTCCAGTGCAGTCTGAACACATGAACAAGGCAAAATGCCTTGTCTCCCAACTGCCAGCACACCATTGCAATGCAGTGGTGTGAACTGAGCGCACAGAACTGAGATGTCTGTGCGACATCTCAAAGCTTGTTTACAAAAAGTATGATGTGCCGAGCTCAGCCCTTTATCACTGCACTGATGTCGGCCCCACTACACTGCACGCTGCATTGCAAGCGGCTGGTGTGAACAAGCCCTAAAGTTTCACCTATGTTTTCTTTGTACTGACATGCAGTTTGTTTGTTTTCAGTGCAGACAACACATGGGAACCAGAAGAGAACTTGGATTGTCCAGAATTAATTGAAGCGTTTCTAAACTCACAAAAGGCTGGCAAAGAAAAGACAACAGATGGAAAAAGGAAGTCCATTTCAGACAGCGAGTCTGAAGAGAGCAAAGCAAAGAAAAAGAGAGAATCGGTATGTTAATAGTAGATACAGTGCTGGGGTGACATTATACAAGAAAACAGCAAGGTGGTACAAAACAGATTTTAGAAGATGGCAGCATTAAGCATGCCAAATGTTCTATCCAAATTTTATTTTTTTTCATGATTAATCAGCACATGATGTCCATCTGCACATTACCAGTGCTCCTTTCATTTCAATATCTTGGCAGCTTTGAACTTGAAAATTGAAACAGTAGATCCTTGCTGCCCTAATCTGCATGCACAGAAAGCTAGCTACTTAGGCCCACTTTTTTTTTTTTTTTTTTTTTTCTTTTTTCTTCTAGCCAGTACTTCTGCTTATCGTATTGCTCAGAGTTCATAAGGAGGCATAGTGGTCCAGAAGGCCAACCTTCTAAATGGAGGAAGTGAGCTGCCACGAGCCTCTGTAAGGACACCTGTGGTCCTGCAGTTCAATACTTAGGCTGATATGACAGACAAATTTTGACAGATTTTTATCAGATTGTTTATTTGAAAATATGGTTGTTCTTATTGGAAAAGCAAATTTGTAATCTGGAGTCACTTTCAGAAAGTCGTATTCCTGATTAAAAGCGAGTATACCAGAAGCCTTGTAAAGGTTAATATTGCTTGTTTTACAAATTTTACGTTCAGGGAAAAGTAACATGTTTACTTGGTGGTCTTTCACAGCTGATACTTGCCTGCACAGCCACATGAGGTGTGTCCAAGGGGGTTCCTTTGACTCTTGACTGTAGCTCTTGTTGCTTGATTTGTCAGTCCAAACTGCTGTCATAAGAGGGCTCTGATCTGGAAGCTGCAAATGGCTTTGTTAGGGCTCTGATGGGAGAGTGAGGTGGTAGAAGGGGAGGCGGTAGACTATGGGCTAAATATGATTAAAGATGTTGCTGCTAGTCTTGTAGCCGGATTGTAACAAATGGTCTAAAGGCAGCGTTGTGAAATGTTTTTTGTAATGTCTGTTAACAAGATAATTTTATTTCAGGTTGATAAAACCCAGAGGCTTTTCTAGAGGCTTGGAACCAGAGAGGATAATTGGAGCTACAGACAGCAGTGGAGAGCTGATGTTCCTTATGAAATGGTGAGATGGATTACAGATCCTTTTGTAGTTGACATTAAAATCCAACACATCCAAAACCTATTTTGGTTTAGAATGCGGTGGGTTTAGGAATTGTGTTGCCTCTTTGCTTTCTGTATTTGGGGTTTCCACTCACTACTTGGCTTTTGAGTGATTTCGAATCTGTCAGATTTTTGCCACCTTTCTTTGCTTCAGAGCAAGGGTTCTCTCTAACATGATTGCAGATATATTGTACACCAGAGTAGTGATGCATTCTGACATATTGGGAACAAACAGATCCTCTATCAGTTACATTACATGATAACCATTTTGGAGGAAAGTTTTGCTAAACTTCAACATTTTGAGCAATGTGGTTGTGCACCCATCTTATTCTGCTGGCTTATAAGTATATGTGCAGATGATTACATACATGTCCTCTGTTAAACATGATTGCAAGGGTTAATTGTGTCTAACCACTTGCCCTATAGAGTATTTTACTCCCCTTCCTGACCAGGCCATCTTTTGCATTACGGCGCTGCGTTACTGTAACTGACAATTGTGCGGTCATGCACCGCTGCACCCAAATTAAATTTACGTCGTGTTTTTTTTTTTTTTTTTTTCTCCCCACGAATAGCTTTTTTTTGGTGGCATTTGATTGCCTATCAATAAAGTATAATGTCGCGCTCCCAATATAAAGCAAATGTTACATAAATCGTGCAGTATGAGGATGTGATTTATGTCAGCAAACCAGTTAATCTCTTATTAGTGGCTCGCAAGTTACCAACAAACATAATTTTAGTGTGTGTGTGTGTGGTTTTTTTTTTTTTTTTTTTTTTTTTTTTTTTTTAAGACCTCTTGCGCTACATAAAAAAAAAAAAAAAAATTTTTTGGGGGGGGGGGGGATATATATTTGACTTTTTGCTGTTTAAACATGTCCAGTAAAAAAAATTTAAAACCTCAGATTGTCATAAATTTAGGCCAAAATGTATTCTGCTACATGTCTTTGCTAAACAAAATCCCAATATGTATAAATTAATTGGTTTATGTGAAAGTTATATCGTTTACAAATGGTGGTGTATATGTACTGAGATTTTTTTTTTGTTTTACTAGTAATTGCGTTGATCAGCGACTTGTAGTGGGACTGCGGGGCGCATTCTAACACTGCGGGAAACTGACTTGGTGTCACTGGCATCCCCAGTGACACCAATGCAGTGATCAGTGCTAATAAAAAGCACTGTACTAATGGCACTGGACAGGAAGGGGTTAACATCTGGGGTGATCAAAGGGTTAGTGCTTTCAACTGTAAGAACACTGCTTTGTATGTGCTATGCAGTGTGCAGGAGCTGACGGGAGAGAACTGTATTGTTTGCATACAGTTCACTCCCTCCATTGGTAATGCTCCTCGGTCACTGGCCGAGTCCTGGTGATTGACAGCTGAGGCCGAGAATAGCAGCGCAGGTAGGGCATTCCCTACCCGGAAATGCAAAATCGTGTGTGTGTGTGTGTGTATATACGTAATTTTGCGCACCTCTGCTGCCCTGTAGCAGTATATCTGCTATAGGGTGGTGGGAAAGCTGTTTATCTAGAAGTAGAATAAGCATTTGTTGTTGCCTACTGCTTGTTCAGTGGCCGCCAATGCTCCCATGGTGTGGCAGGACTTTGTCTCTCGTGCAATGCAGGACTGCTGGTCTGGTACATGAAGTCAGAGAACCTGGGAATGGTGAAGGGAAGTGGCTTAAGAAACTGATGTTGCAGTTAGGGGTAGCCTGTGGGAGTGAGGAGTAAGGTATTGCTGTTTGGTCCTCTATTCCTAGGCTAGGGGGGGCTCCACTGCCAGGGTAGATTTTACTGCTGCCCAGATGGGCTTTAAACCCTGACAGCAGCTCTAACCCTTACTCTTGCTGTCCAAAACAAGTTTTAGCCAGAATTTGAATTTAAGCCTCAGTTTCTCTCATTAAATAGCTGAAAGTTGATTGCTAATGTCTGCTCGGTTGTCAGGTTCGCTCTGAGCAGCGTACTGACAGCCTGAACCAGCCACCAGTAAGGCTCTGGGTGAATCCCGACATTGTCTGTCTGGATCACTGCAGAGCCTAGACTGGCTCTGTAACATCAGCTGACAGTGGACTGTAGCCTGTTTTGCTAAATCTGGTTTACTGGAGTGCAGAACTAAGTGCGCTCCTGTGACCCACAGAAGTATGGCCAAAAGAGCTTTGGCCACACCTATTTGGCTGAAAGATGTAGAGGCGCCGATAGTGACCACCGTCTGCAGTGTTGTTCACTTGGCTGTATCTGGCTTCAGGAATTTGTCACTGACCTAGGATAAGCTTAGACTATTTTTGTGTTGCCAAGTCTGAAACCTGAGACCAGGAATATATATATTAATATAATGCTGTTTCCACGGAACTATACTGATATTGCCATGTATGTGTGAGAAATATGAATAAGTTAGGTTTTCTACATTTCAAGTTGCACACGTGCCCAGAAAAAAGTATGCTAGCTATCTGACTGCTGCTTCCATACTTTAGCATCAGAGTCAAAAACCAAGCATTAAAATGTTACTAAACCCACAACCGTAAAATCAGTCTGTATATGCAGTAAAGCATACTTTCACTGTGGAACCTAAGGGGTTAATCCTCTTCATTGTGTAAAAAGGCTGTTGATCTTGATTTTCTCTGCTCCTCCTCTTCAAATGTCAAAATCTTACTGTAGCCATTCTGCACATGCTTAGTGTGTATTGCTAGAGGTTTTTTTTTCTTGATGGAGTGCATGTGATCACCACAGGGCTAATGAGCACTGTTTGAGTCAGAGGTGGAGTTTTGCATCCTCCTAGAGCAGAAAGAAAACTCCTACAAGCTTTAACCAGTGCTCTGCTGGACACTGATAAGTCACAAGACTGCTCTAATTGCTGATTACAAAAGGTATTTAGCAGTTTATATTTACTAAAATAATTGCATTTCCATGTTGTGTACAGAGGGAGACCAAATTTGGTGAATGCAGGGTCCTGGGTTTAGTAACACTTTAACCACTTCCATGCAGAGCACTTTTACCCCCTTCCTGCCCAGGCCATTTTTCAGGCAATTGTGCTGTCATACAACACTGTACCCAAACTAAAATTTATCATTTTTCTTCACACAACTAGAGCTTTCTTTTGGTGGTATTTAATCACCACTGGGGTTTTTATTTGTTGCTAAAAAAGACCACGCTTTTCTTTGTTTCTGTTATAAAAGTTTGCAAGCAAATTGTTCTTCATAAACTTGGGCCAAGATGTATTCTGCTACATGTCTTTGGTGAAAATAACCCAAATTAGGATGTAGACTTTAATTTGTAGGAGCGTTGGAGTTCACAAACTATGGTATAGATCTGAAAATTGATCAATCCTGAAGTACTGCCAGCCAATCTAATTTCTTGAGGTCCAAGAATGTCAGAACAGTACAGATCCCCCAAATGACCCCTTTTTTGAAAAGTAGACAGTCCGATGTATTTCATAAGAGGCATGGTGAGTTTTTTGAAGTTGTAATTTTTGCCATTTTTTGGAAAATGAGAATTAAAATTTCCACTTTTTTTTTTTTTTTCTTCTTTTAAAGATTTTTTTTTTTTTATGTCACTATGACCAAAGCAGTATGTTACCATAGTAACGTACTACTTTGGGGACGTGATCAGTATTTTTTTTTTTTTTTTTTTACACAATTTACTTATAGCAAAGAATTACTTTGCTATAAGTAAGCATTTACCTGAATGACATCGATTCATTCAAGGTTTTTTTTTTCTTTTTTTTTTTTCCTTTTGTGCTGAACTGTGATTTGGCCACAGCTATTCACGTGACATGTGCATGTGATCGCTGTGACCGTTCACAGCTAGACACACTAGTATACAATGGATGGCATGAAAGGAAGCCATCCATTGTATACAACTGTCATGTGACCTGCTGTGATTGGTCACATGGTACTGGAAACGGGGCTGGTACACAGATCTGTCATCGGCCGTGTCCAAGGTACACGGCCGGTGGCATCGCGCCGCAGAGCGGCCCTGCAGGCAGGCGCACTGCGCATGTCTGAAAGGGCGCCATATGGCGTCCCCCCGGAGGATCGAGCTGCTCACCCGGCCGCCTTTGTGCTATTGGCCGGGAACCGGTTAAGGTAAAAACCTGTGCCTGTGGATCCAACCCATAGCCTTCACTTTATACTTCCCTGAGCCTGATCTCGATCTAGCGATGTGCATGCAGAGCAGAGAGCGGTGACTGACAGTCCCGCTCTCTGTGCAGAGCGACTGTGAGAACTCGGCAACCTGCTGTCATGTGATTGCTGAGTTCTCACACTTAGAGGTGGCGGGGAATGGACGCCGCATTGGACCAATGCTGTGTGCACCCAGGTAAGTATGATGGGGGGGGGGGGGGGGGGGGGTGTTATCCCACACTACTTTCAATAGCACTTTAATCCCAACATAAGGTGTGTGTGTGTTGCAGTGGTAAAAGGGATAGTATGCTGTTTTCAGTCTTGGTATTGGAGGAAGAAACGCATGGGCAGGAGAACTCATCTTAATTTGGTCCCTGAGAAAGCTCCTATGGAATCAGCTTGCATACTAGTATGGTTTAGTACAGGGGTAGGCAACCTGCAGCTCTCCAACTGTTGCAGAACTACAAGTTCCATCATGCCTCTGCAAGTCATAGCTGTAACTGTCAATTTTCAGAGAGCAGGAGAGTATAACATGATGGTTGTGGTGTTTTTTTAATAAAAACAAAAAACAAATCTTTTTTACAAACACTTTAATGGCTGGGTTTGATTTTACCATTGGGTAGTACCAGGGATCCAGATAATATACCATCATTTTCAGTCCAGATTATTTCTACACCAACTGTAAAATCATTTAATCACAAGTTTGCTAAATAAATTTGTTGCTTTAGTCTGAACTCTCAAATTATTTTCCAGGAAAGACTCTGATGAAGCAGATTTGGTTCCAGCAAAAGAAGCAAATGTGAAATGTCCGCAAGTTGTAATTGCTTTTTATGAAGAGAGGTTAACATGGCACTCCTGTCCTGAGGATGAAGCACAATAGAACTATTACTGTCGTAGGATTTTTGTTGTGGTTTTTATTTTTTTTTTTTTTTTTTTTTAATTGACTTTTGGCCACTTGAATTTACTTATGGTTATGTGTTTAGTATTTTTCTGATAAACCACACCAGTAATTCGGCTGAATGTGGCCCCACAATGTATATGGTCTATAGAGCTTTTGATACATATGTATTGCTCTAGGCTTTTTATAAATCTGTATAACTGAAGTCTGAGCATCTAATGCAAACTTGCAATGTTTTGTAGCCTTCAAAAGATGTGCATGTTCATGCTTTATTCCCATTACCATAGGCTATTAGTACCAGATTCTGCTTCGATGTAAGCCGTCTGGAGAACTTTGTAGTATGTGGAACGTTTCCTGACTGTATATTGTTTACTTCAATGTAAATACTGGTGAGCAGTGTTCAATAAATAGTTTTATATTCTCAAATGTCTGCCTGATTTTTATCATGAACCTGTTAAAGGGTTAGTTTACTTTTAACGTTTTAGTGCATCCAAGGGGAGGCGCAGTATGCTATTAAATCATTGGGCAGTGAAGAGGAAATTTATTCATCACTATGCTGCAGCATCTGCTCTAAGACAGAACTGATCGATCACATGACCACTGATCACTCAGTTCTCTGCTAGGAGCAGAGTGGTGACAGTCACTGCTTTCCACTCTGCTCCTCCAGTTATCACTGGAGCATTGGATGGGGTTGGATTGGGTGGCTCTGGTTCTCAACTGCACATTGAGAGGTGTAGCCAGCTGTATATCAGGTAGGATTTTTACAATATTGCCAGCATCCTTCCAGAGCCTGGAGCTGCTCTCCCTCGTTAGTGGAAAGGGGGCAACAGCCAGCTATCAGTTGACTATGGGTAACAGAACAAAAGTAGTGCACCCCTGTGATTTGAAAATAGAAGTATGGCTAAAAAGTACTTTTGGCATACTATTTTTTTTTTTTTTTTTTTTTTTTTAAATGACATACCCTTTTTAGGCCACTTACAACTGAGGCGATGCCTAACCATAACATCTAGTCAGTAATCTCCTCCAGCTGTGATATTCAGGATAGAGAAACCATTGAGGAGCTCAAAGAAATGACATAAGCAATTCGCGTGTCTCTTCAATCACTGCAGGGCTGAGGTTGCAGGAGGGAGGATAATTTATTACTTGCTCTGCTCTTTGTAGTTTCATCTCAGGCACTGAATGAGTGCTATGCCAGGTGTCTACAGCTGGAAAAACAGCTCTAGGTGTGCATGTTCTGAATGAGGGCTCAGTTACGGAGTGTCAAAACTGAGGGGTGGGTAATGTGTATAAAAAAAAAACATATATATTCCTGTACACATTCATTTGTATTCATTTTAAGAGCTGCGGCGATAAACTATGAAAGGTGAACTAACCCTTTAAAGGAAACCTGCACCGAGATAGCCATACAGGAATACTTGTCTGGATGTCTTTGGTCTTTAATGATTCGCCTCACTGACTTGGAACAAGTATCCAGATTAGAAAAAAAAGTAACGGCAGAACTCCTGATATGCATGTTTGTTTCAGGGTGATGTCGAAATATTGAAACCATTAAATTTAAGAGTGACAACTGCACCCTCTATACTGTTGGTGCATGTTTTTTGTAATAGGATATCAGTGTAGCACTGCAACAAAGAGGCAGGAGCTGCTTTTAGTGTTAACATTAATGAGGTTGAGAGCAGAATTTGGAAGTGTACACTCGTCGGGCCCTCTGATCAATGGTAGATTACTGGATAATTTAACTTATTTAAGCCTATGAGAATTTTTGTGGCTATAGGAGTGGGCATTGATAGGGTTTCCATTCCCCCCCCCCCCCCCCCCCCCCCCCCCTTCTGGCTGGGTAACACTGCCACTCAGCAGGGGAATGTTTTGCCAATTGCAAAAAACTTTGGCTTGGTGTCACCCCACCACACACTACTGCAATACTCGCAGGGATGATGGCCTAGGTCATCAGACCCACTGCTAATGCTGTGTTGGGAAGAGGTGAGCTACAGCAGGAACACTTCTCAAGGTGTGCATCAGATGCTGAAGAGCAAACACCGGCAGTCACACAGCCTTCCCTTCCTACAGTAGCACAGCACACTAGGGACCAGTGAAAGGGCATTTGCAAGGGAGGCAGCCAAATTTTAGAGTTTTCTAAAAGTGGCACTCGCCAGTCCTGGCTGCAGGGCTTTCCATGAGCCTGGTCTTCATTCATTACAACAGGAATGCCACATTTGGTAGCCTTCAGGAACACAATGTCTTTTGGGGGATCGCAGCCCTTGACCTGTAAAGCACCCTGCTAATGTCAGTACCAGGTACCCTGTTTACCGCTGCCTGCGGGATTCAGTGCTGATTGACTCCATACCGGCTATCTCCAATCTTCTATAGTATGGTTTAGGTGCTATTCCTCTGGGCTCAAGGCCCAAAACTGGGTAAAGCCTGTCCTTTTTCCCCAGCAGGAGTGTTATGGTATAGGTAAGTAGAAACAGAAACTTTATTGGGAAAAAAATCTTTGGAAAGACTTCATAGGTGCATCCATCACCTAAAACGGGCCTCCAAACTTTCTAAACAAAGGGCCAGTTTACTGTCCTTCAGATCTTAAAGCAGCTGGACTGTGGCAGTTGGGAGTAGAAAAGGTCCTGGGTGGGGAAAAAAATGCCCCATATTTTGGTCAGTGGAAGAAATGGGCCCCATTGTTGGTGTCAATGGGCCCAATTGTTGCTGTCATTGGGAGGAATTGTGCCTCTTCATTTATGTCAGTGGGTAGGAATAATGTACCATTGTTATCGGTGGATTAAATAGTGCCCCACGGGCCAGTTTGGAGACCACTGACCTAAAGAACACTACCACAAAACAGACTGCTGGGAGGGGTTATGTCTGGGTGGGAAAGCCTGCTGTTTAGATCAGTGCCCATTCACCTTTAAGTGGCAGCAGAACCCAAGTAGTCATAACTTTTTACCTTTTTGCTGCCAGGTCTGTATGTCTTTGGACCTGACAGCAGGGGGGTTTATACACAATCCAGTGGCTGCAGTCACGGGATTGTGTATAAAACTGACAGGAAAAAGAATACGGGTTCCAATTGCTTTCACACACCCTGGTAATGGCGGGCCTGGGGCCAATGTGGCAAGTGCCAGCAGGGGGAGAGCGAACAGGGACCCATCCACTCTTTTCCTTCTTGCTGTGATTTGGAAAGTGACGTGTATGACATCACATCTGGGTCATCCTGTCACTTTCCCTGACCAGAATAGCCAGGGCGGAATGAATTTCAATACATTCAGTGTAGCCCAGAGGAGACATGCAGGGTCTAAAAGATCTCATTAAAGCGGAGTTCCAACTCGACCTATCAAACAAACTGTAGCTGCTGACTTTTAAACAGCCACTTGCCGGTCCCGTGGTGTATCGCTTGCAGCCAGTTTCACTGGCGTCCTGTATTCCAGGAGGCCGGCATCTTCAGTGTGGGCACCCGTCTGTGATAGCTTGCGGCTTCACAGCCGTGTACCCACTGTGCATGTGGGAGTAGCGCTGCGCTTTGTGAATGGTCCTGTAGTCTTCTGGGACCTGTCACGTGTCCCAAAAGACTACAGAGAGGGAGGACACCTTCCGCCTCAGGCGATGGACCAGCAGTGGGAGTGGTTACCTGTCAAATTTGGGTACCCGCTCCCCATTAAGGATTGGCACCTTGGGGGAGCAGTCCTTAAAGCGGAACTTCCCCTTTTGGGTGGAGCTCCACTTTAAAAAGAACCTGTCGCTTAAAAATCATCATAGGGACTTTTTCCCCTATGTGATGGTAGAAAAGTTAAGCAAGAATTTTTTTTTAATTGCAAAAATGTTACACCCAAGCATAACACCCCCCCCCCTAAAAAAAAAAAAAAAAAAAAAAAAAAAAAAAAAAAAAAAAAAAAAAAAAAAAAAAAAAAAAATGGAGGGCCCCTCCACAATATATATGTACAAATGTAAACGCATGTGTCTGAAGCATCTACGTGTGAAAACGGCGATTTAAATACGTTACATATGGCCACGCATGTCGGAGTGAGAGCAATAATTTTAGCACAAACCTCCTCCATAACATTTAAACTGATGAACTATAAGGGGCTTTTGAAGCGTCGCTTATAGAAAATATAGGATATTGAAGTTTGTCACCATTTCACAGGCACAGCCAAATTTAGGTTTCACATGTTTGGTATCTATGTACTTTGTGCAATCTCATCTTTTATATTTTACAATTTTGTAAATTTTTATTTTAACTGAAATTTTGTGTTTCTTTAGACCTTTTGTGGGAATATTGTTACATAAATTGGAACTACCACTATTTTATTCTCTTTGGTGTCTGCTTTCATAAAATACGTTTGGGGTTTTGTGTAATCTTCAGGCCTAAAATCGTTTTTTAAACATGCAAAAAAAAAAATTAATGCAAAAACTGCTCTAGCAGCGAAAGGTTAAAGAAACTGTGTGTTCTGGGATGTACTCCTAAGATAAGGATTTTTCAGGTATACAAAAATCCCATTTTTGTTGGAGTATTTCTTCACGGCTTGTCAAGACAAAGCACAAAAGTGTGGTTTGCCTCTGGTTATTATATTGCCCGTCCCCATAGGAAGACACCGCTTTTGAAAACCAAAGAGAGTGGTGATCCTTATACTTAACCAAATTATACATTGTATGGGGAGCTAATTGAATAATGGCTTTGCTTGCATTAAGAAAATCTACTTGAACAGTGATGGCGAACCTTTTAGACACCAAGTGCACAAACTGCAATCCCAAAACCCACTTATTTATCACAAAGTGCCAACACTGCAATTAAACCTGAATACTGAGGTTTTAGATTGTAAGCTCTGATGAGCAGGGCCCTCCTATCCCTCTTGTATTGAACTGTATTGTTGCTGTATTGTCTCCCGTTATATTGTAAAGCACTGAGCAAACTGTTGGCGCTATATAAATCCTGTATAATAATAATAATAGTTTAGAAACAAAAAAAAACAGCTCATACATTAACATGTTTTGTCTTA